AGTTAGAATGAGAATTTCGTTAACCAAATTAAGTTCAAATCGGTATATCCAAGTTATCTATTGCACAAAGAAACAGACTATGAGAGAGACATCTGAGAATTAATTACTTTCATCATCCGGTAAGATAGTTATCCCCCAAAACTAAGCCTTTGGCAATAGAAAAACTTGCAGATGCGAGTGATATACAAGTATTTTGCTTAAACTTAGTAAGAAATCTGCACTTAACTTCAAGGGATTCTGTATTTTGTTATAGGGCTCTTCGGTGAAGTTTCAATCGAAACAGCGTGACTAGAAAGGCTCTGCTGCGACTTTCAAAAAAGTGGTAAAGCAATATGTGGGCTCCGTTCGCTCAAGAATCCCTCAGGCGTTTAGCCATAAAAAATGATCAAATCGAATAAATTTATACATAAATAAAAGCCCATATAAGCTGAACAATTTTATGAATGAAAGCGACTAGCGACTAGCGCCAATCGCACAACACAAAACATTCCGGATTCATTTTATGCATTTCCCCATTTGAATAAACACCATTCATGCATAGAAAAATATACTTTAGCAGCCGCCGCTGATATCGTGGCCAACAAATTTACGACCTAATAACTTTACTACTAAACACTCATCTACATTTTAAAGGCGATAATTTTGTCAGTCTACGACACGGCTTCTTACACACGTATAATGTCACCACAAAAGAACAGAGCGCATGCGCAGTGCACAAGAGGCAGCTAGCTCGTGTTATGCAACAAGCCACACAACTTGCTTGGTTGCATGACTACATACAGGGTGCGTCTCAAGTGGATGGATTATGAACAGCAATATATATTGTACATATATTTTTAATATTGACAAACTTTCGAGAAAAAATTATATTTATAATATTCATTATAAGAATAATTATTAATTTTACTATGCGACTATAGAAATATATTTTGACCTTTGTCAAAAATAATTTATTTTTTCTTTAAGAGCTTAGTTTTAATTATCAAAGACCCGAAGAGATCAACGGAATGGAGGCTACTATTCGAAACGCACTAATTCAGCTTCCGTATCAAGTATTTAATATTCAACTTTATAACAAACGAATCGCCCTTTACGCTTCTACTTACTATCTCTACCACACATGTACCTGTTTAGCTGTCTTCGGTAACTAATAAACAGACCTCCACTTAAGTTGGCTGCCTTTCAAGGTGTCCAAACAGGCTATTAAATAAATTTCTGCTCTAACACTTCCACCATAAAATTGTGGGAGAAATGCAACAATAACAATGAACTGCAGCATGACAGCATGACAACGGTATTGATAAGTGCGCAAAGGTGCAAGGTACTCAGAGACTTCGAGGCAGATAAGAGCGCATGCGCATCATCATGGTCGAGGTGGTGTATCGTAAATTGAGGGATTATCAGCGGACAATAATTTGTATTAATGTGGTTTTTATTACACTAGTTCATAGACTACGGGATTATGACAGTGTAGCTGTGTGTCTAGTATTCGCTTGTAAGCACTCTACTCGGAAGTCTGCTATGAAGCAATCATGTAAATAAACTTAGCGATTAGGAACAAATACATTTAGACAATATTAACACATTTTTACGAATAATGGTAGTGCCGTATATGATTGGATATACATACATATTTCTATTTGAAATTCCCATTTGAAGTATAAGTATAAAAGTGGTTACGTTTAGTCCTATATTGTCCTTGTCCCGAAGTTTATAACATCCAGAAGTATATATTTTAATGATTAGCGTGACGCGCCGAGTTAATTTAGCCATGTCCATCTATCCGTCCGTCCATTGGTCTCTCTGTATATACGCCGACGTATCCCTCAGTTTTAGAGATATCAATCTGAAATTGCGCACAGCTCCGTTTCTCATGAAGAAGCTCCTCATTTGTCGAAAACGCAGATATTTTTTACTTATTAAATAACCTTAATTCAACTTGAAAGTTTTTTATATCAAAAATTCCTTATCTCTCCGATTTTGGAGAGGAATTAGGAGGAATCATTCTGACAATTCAGCAACTACTTGACTTAAGTAAAAGATATCTTCTTATCGAGCAAGAAAGTAGTAAATTTAAAAGCAATGGTTGAGCAAACCGGAGTGATTATACCACATGATCAAATATGACCCGGATTGACAACGTTTGCACGTAATTTAATACAAAGCTTCATTATCTCCTTGAAAATGGGCCATTGAGCCAGAGCAAAATTGCCAACGCTTAACTCAATTTTCCATACATTGGTTATAATCCTCAGCTGCGAAGGCCTTCAGTACCTTCAGCGAATTTTGGTTTTATCGGTTTCGGGTCACTCCGACGTAATATTCTTAAGTCCACGTCTCGTAACCAGTAACGATGCGTTTGATGAATGTAGAGCCCTCAAATAAGTTGTCAAGCATGTATTTTGCGACCTATACTCGAGGTCGTTTTTGCAAAATATTCAGTTGTTTTGGTACGAGTCTATATAAAAATATTTTGATCCAATCCATAAGTTTCTATAAGATTTTTAAGACTTCCGCAGAGGTGATTCCATTGGAAACACAAAATTTCAAGCAAACTCGTTATTCAATTTCTTTTGTAAGTCACATAATTGGTTAATAATATGCGAAAGAACGCCACTATTCGGCGATAAAATGCGGCTAAACAAAAAAGGAGGATCAAGCCTTAAAAATACGCTGAGAACTTAAATTTAATACCGACTTGGCATTGCGCAAGAGTTTCTAGGCAAACTAAATTGTAAGCCAAATTAACATAAGTAAATAATTCTTCACTCGGCGATATACTCCGACATCTCACAGGAACTCGTTTCATAGAATTCACGGTTAATTTTAAAATATCAAACCCTTTCATATGATCTATTTGCATTAGCAAATAAAAGCCGGTGTTTTTTTTTTTTTGTACCAGAGTGGAATTCAAACAAGCATACTGACATACAAATATTAGTGTGTTTGCATGTATGTACATATGTTTATTTGTTCATAGACGATTGTGAGCATATTGCACATAAATAGAGCAGAACAACTCGGGCAAGCAGACAATTCGTCAGTTTGGTTCGGATTCCTTTTGTTTTACTTTCCCATCAAAAGTCAAATGATTAAATGGAAAATTTAGAAAATGGCATTAAAGCAAAACAGAAAAAACGTCGCACAATGCACTGTGTCAATAGGAAAACACGTATACACACAACAACATGCAACAGCACCACCACACTCATACACACACAAACTCATTGCCAGAGTCACCCACAAGCCAAGTTGTTCATGAAACAAAAAACAAAAAAACAAAGAGAAAAAAAAAGAAAAGCAAACATTAGTGGAGCGCGCATACATAAAATGGTACATATACCGTGAGGGGGGGAAATCCCACAGCGGCTGACGCGTTCGACGCTGCGTCAAGAGCGATTCTTTACGCATTTCTATTTGAGTAAACTAAACAGAAGCGACAGCAAGCGTGTGACAGCGAGTCAATGAATTGTCAAATGGGTTAAATGCTTTTCACAAACAGCCCTCACACAATGGACCGGCAGGCCAGACTGCTTGCTTGTGCGTCGGCTTTCGTTCCGATCGGTTGCAGAGTTCAATGAGTGCACTCAGTGTTGCGATGCGATACTAAGGTGACTAAGGTGAGTGCATATAATCGGTGTTTGTTGGGTAAGCGGTGTACATGCAATATATACAAACTTCCACACATACGTACACATATATATCATATACATATACTAGGAATAGAGAAGGTGAAGTGTGGATGTATTTTGCTGGCACGCGATTAAAATGGTCATCAATTGGTTTCTACAAGTATTCTGCTATATAATAACTGTTTTATCACTAGGTGTATATACATTTACAAATATGTAGATATATATTTACGTAAATACTTCACAGTTTTGAAATGGATTTGGTCAGTTTGCACCAAATCATATATATGCATATATATTTTAGCTTAAATGGTTAGTGAACCTTTAAATTGATTTTCTCCAATATTCAATCGAAATGAGAGCGGAAGTCTTAACGCTTGGCCGACATTATATAATCATTATTTTATATGCCAATAAATTATAATGGGAACGAAGTGCTTGCAGAGGCGGTGTAAGCGAAATAAATTTTAATTTAAATATATTTGCTCTAAAATAAACTTGCTCGATATGGCTTAGTTCAACTGGATATATATGAGCTGAGTGGACTTCGCCATATCCGTTTGTCTGTCCATCCATCTGTCCGTCCGTCTGTATATACTCGAACTAGTTGCTCAATTATCGGGTTATCGATCTGAAATTTTGCACACATCCACACACATGGTTTTCTCTCCAAGAAGCTATTCATTTGTCGGAAATGCCGATATCGGACCACTATAGCATATAACTGCCACACAAACTGAACAAGCGAAGTAAAGTTCTTTTATTATTTTGGAATATTTTGTATTTTCCGAAACCTATAACCACAATTCGTTGAAAGCACTGAAGGCCATCCCAGCCGGGGCTTAAAACAAATGTTCGAAAAATTAGTTTAAGTGTGAAGATTGAATTATTGATACATTGTAATTATTCCATTAACGTGGTCACGTGACCGTCGAAAATAGAAAAACTGTTGAATTTGTTGATATATACTGATGCTCAGATGAGATCTCTTTATACTCTGGTAACTATGGATTCATAATTTAATAACTTTGCCACAAACTTTATCATATATTTGTTAGTGTTTATAACTACCTATAATAGAATATAGTGAGCCACAGCTAAATTTAAACATAGTTTAATTGCTAGAAAGTTAAAACTTTACAATCACAATGTAAAAACAAAAGCAGTATACGCAGAAATCAATTATCTTTCTCTTTAAGAATTAGATACTGGCGACTCGCAAGCATTTAAATTGTATCACTTTAAGCAGGTGTCCGCTCTAATGCTAAATTAATTTATTTGAGAGAGCTCAGGCAGAGAGAATACAGCGAGGAATTAAATCTGCTATCTGCTGACTTGCAATAACTACATACTCGTATGCATTTACTAGTAATAACTAATCTCTAATAATCTTGTTAAATCTTGCTAAAAACTGAAATTTTAGAACATTTCTCATTATTTTTAGAATACAGCAGCTGAAATTATATATGTATATATTTATATAGTGAGACAAAATATCATCTTACCATATGTTCATGTGCTATAGTATATTGAGCAAATCTTAACCCAGAGAAGGCTGGTGATAACCTCCACGACCTTAATATTTGGTAAATAAACAAATTATTTAACTCGTGAGCTTAAACCGAATTACCTCCAATTTAGTTGATTTCGAATACTAGAAGTGGAAGATGTTTAGAAGTACGCTAGTTATTTGCTTTTGCCTTTTGAGCTTCTCCCAAGCTGCTGTTTATTCCGAGCGTTATTTTAAGGACCCAGGTTAGTGGGTTTGTAGATATGTTTTTTCGTGAAAAAAACTTTATTGCTATTTTTAAAATTGCAGCGCATCCCGGAAAATGTGTTATTAAAGATAAAGTTCTATCCCCTGGTCAAAGTATTAAGCACCCCGTTATGGCTTGTGCGCAATTCATCTGTGATAATGCACAAGGCATGGCTACGATCGAAGCGTGAGTGATTAGTTTATACATTTCTTATGTTACATAAATACAATATATATTTTAATTACAACTAATTTTATTTCAGCTGTGATCCTGTTAGTGCTTTACCTTCGCCGCTCTCGATGATTAAATATGATCCTCGGGATAAGCCAACATGCACTTGGGGTGATTTCATCAATACGAATGCACCATATCCGGAATGTTGCAAACGGCATTTCTCTTGTGTACTTTGAAATAGTAATAAATGTACCGAAAATGCTACTTATATAAATATAAAAAAATAACTATAAAAATGTAAAAAAAAATATGGTTTTAAATTATAAGAGTGCTTGACAAATATTAATTGGAAAAAAATAAATTTAGTAATGTTAATAAATTATTTAAATGTTGTTTTTGGCACTCTTTTTCAGGTTTTCTGCAACATATCTTCCTTTTGAATGCCATAAAATCCAACCACTTTTGAACATGCTTTGATGTGCCGCTTACATTTAGTAAATTCTGCTAATTATATTTGCTTATAATTATCAAAGAGCAATAAAAATATTACTTATAATGATTAATCACCCACGAGCAATGATTATCTCGTTGATCCAGTATATATCGGTAGCTCAAAACAAACCGCATTCGAATAAAATGTGCACAGTTGCAGGGCAACCCAAATCAATCAAGCACACACATACAGCCAAATCACAAAGAACAAAAGTTATACGGCGACAAAGATGAAAAATAAAAATACAATTTTTAAATGCAAAACACTAATTTTATAAAATAAAAACACGAAATTAATAAATTGTAATCGAAAAATTCAAAACTTCAAAGCTAAAACCCAGCAACCTACCTACATATGTGTGTGTGCCTCCGCAGAATGTCGTTGCCTTTCGTTTTGTGTTGGCGCACAGCCTCCGAGTATAGTATCTGGCTACTGTGTAAGTGTGTATGTGTGCACATGTCTGTGGTCGACTCCAAATGCGACTGATGTGCCATTTGATTGTCGTCGAGATGTCGCCTTTTGAGCCGCGGTTGCACTGCTCCACTGATGCTTATTACCTTGTGGCCGGTGCTGTGGCACGCACACGTGTGTGTAAGCATGTGTGAGCGCTGATCAGTGCAACCATCTCAGCGTGATCAATCACACTCGGCTCATCTGTCAGTTGTTTAATAGACTTCATTATTTATTTTGTGTTGCATTGACAATTCTCAGTTTTTGGACTTTGGATTCGTTATTTGTAGCAAGTAGCCAACCACACGTAACTATTGACAAATATTTAGCGATTTGAAGTGACATATAATATTTTGAAGAGAAAAAATTTAAAACAAATGATTATGGAAAGTCAATTTCTCTTCAACTGATAATCATTTTTTGACAACTCTTCTGCTGAATTTTTGAAAACTACTAAGGAGTATATGTATATTTTTTAGAAGCCACATAACATAGTCACCGTATTATTACATACATGGATATAGATTCATACGTGGATAATGTTCGCGGAATCAGGAGGAAGTAATTTTAAATTTAAGTGGAAATAATAATTTCTCTATATATATATCATTGAGGTAATCAACAGTTTTTTAAAAACTTAAAAATTTTTCACTTTGAAAAACACCTCTTGAATTTCTTGCAAATTATTGAACTATCATATTCTTCATGGATTCCCATATATGGAATTGCTTCTGAAATAGTAGATAAGCTAATTCTTCTCAACTTGGAAATTCAATATCGTATTTAATCTTAATATAATGCCCTTCATTCTCTCCTAAACTAATATATAAAATATATGTGTTGAACCGTTTGGTGGTGAAGCCACGTCCACCATATTCTTTCAATTCCTGAAACAAAATGTCTTAATATATATCTTCATATCCTTGTGATCAAAAAGCTTATAATCTGTATGCAATTTTATACCACAAATGCTAGATTTTGAAGCAATGGACCAAAAAAAATTGTGCACTAAAATATCGGGCGAGCTTCTCTGGAGCTCTGGGTAGCGAGCCAGATTCTTTACAATCTGAGTAAACAATATTTAAGAAGCTAAGGGAGAATCGCCGCAGCCTTGAAGTCCTTCCATAAATTAGTTCTGAAATTAATAATATTCTTAGGTAGAGAACAAAGTTGGCATTTGAAGTGAAGCCGAGCATTTTTGAGAGAGAAAATGTGTCTTTTACGAAGGCAATAGAGATGTTCTCATCTATTGTATATTAATTAATAAATTTTTTAGCACCAAGCGGAAAGAAGTTGCTTAATAAAATTTCCAATTCGTTCTCCAAAAACTATGAAGTATATGAACAAAATTTAAGGCTACTATTCGAAGCGATTAAAAGCTAAAAATTTCACGCTTAAAAGGGTAAATTAACTGACTTACAAATCAACCCTCAAGTAAATGCATATATATAATATGTACTAACATGTCCTCAATCTATGCCTCTACACCGCCATCTAGTGCCCGGTATGCAAATTACATTTTTCTACACACAAAGGAGGAAGGGAGGATGATACGTTCTAAGCGTGCTTACTTTCATAAAACTACAAGCAACTACAAATATCTGTTATTATATGAATTGTAACTGTTTTTGCTCATAAATTATCGAATTCTGTTGGAAAGTAAAACTTGATAGTAGCCAGCACGCACATGCCTTACTAGCAGCAGCGAGAGTGGTTTCCAAGTAAGCAAAAATACCATAAAACAGTAAAGTAATGAGAAGTTGATATATAATCAATGTGAGTTTCTTTACACATTTAAATAAAATTTATTAAATTTTTAGGAAAAAAACTTTCAAGAATAAAGTTTTCTCAATAAGTAAAAAGCCAGTAATTATAATGAATAAGACCAAAAATGTGGTTTGAAATCCAAAATTTTAAAACACGTACAGGTATTTTTGTCATTTTAGTAAATGGGTGGTTTGACCCCTACACCTCTTGACTACAACACTAAAAATCCTACTTTGTTGCGAAATTTTTATTACAATTTTCGGTTCAAGCAACCCAAAATTTTCAAAAATTGCCTCTAACATCACAGTCGCAAAATTATAATAACTTTTGTTTATGGGGTTACTAAGGACGATTCGGTAAACATATATAGTACAAGTAGTTGAAAGAGGACAACTTTGATATATTGCTGCTTTTAACTTTTACCTTAGAAATTAATTTATTTTTATTCGGTTCAAAAAAAAAAAAAAACTCAATTTAGAGCGCGTGTTCATTTAAGTACTTTACACACATTTTTAAATCAACGTAAATTAATAAGGACGATTTACAGAAGACAATGTAGAGACTCTAATAGAAAAATGTTAACATATTTAACCGTCTACAATTAATTTTAGTCAATTCGATTCTCTCTTTCTACTGAAGTTAAACAAAAACAATCAAAAACATTAACTTCGGTTGCACTCGAATTAAAGTTTCTAAAGTAATTTGTTCTAATCGTTCAGTTGGTATGGCAGCTATGTGCCACATTTTTAGTCCGATCAATGTAAATTATCTTATCACGCAGTGAGGTATGCCTCTGAGGTATGTCAATTGAATATATAACATATTTTTAACTTGAGAGGCCCCGAAATATGTCCAATTGGAATTTTGAATTTTTCTTCTAGTTCTTATCTGAAACCGTTTAAATAGTAAAAAAAGGGGGTCTAGTAGCTTTCACCAAGGTGTCATTAAGAGGAGCCGCCTAGTAGTAATATAAGTTTCTTAGGGTTTCTAAGATATCACCTTTGGATCACTTAATACCTAGATAAGCCCCTTAATTTATATACATTTCAAAACATAATTTTATATGCTATATTCGGGCGAAGAAGAACAGAACATATGTAAGTGATACCAGGATGGTGGAATGTTGGAATGCAATCAACAGTCTAAAATAAAGTGGTTCTTAAAAATTAAATTTGAAGTACCTTATAAATATTTAATATATATAAGTACAAAATTATTTTCTAATATAAGGTCTAAGGTTTAGTTGAAAGCTTAAGCCATAACATACCAATGAACGATCATTTTTGTGTTTTTCCATTAAAAAGGATCAAAAATAATCTTGAGGCTTAACGCCTTTTATTTTTCACACTTAAATGAGAAGTTTAGATATGAACATTCAAATATATATAATATTCATATGTTGTAGTAACTTGGATTGGTAGCACTATAAAATTTAGTTTCGCAGTTCGTCTAGTCAGCCGAGGTTAGCGTGACCAAAGTGTGGATGAGAAATAAGCAATTCGTTGGCGCTCCATTAGTTAATGAAACCTTCAACTGTTACCCTAATATGATTTTTCTGCTTTATCTACACTTCTTGAAAGTGTTTGTTTTGTCCATTTAACGACTTTCCTGCTATTTGCAGCGATTATTTTTTGTAATGTCCTAAAAAAGCTAATATGTATGTAGTCATATACATATGTATCTACTTGTATGTAAGCATATACTCCACTACTTTCTCAAATTCTCTATTCATTTCACTTTACCGCATTCTCGATGTGTGGCGCCTACTCTTGCCGTAAAAGTAAATTGTGGCAAATATTTTGTGAGTAAATGTTAATTTGCGGAAAGAAGGGGGGAATTTGTTTGCTTAGCGTTTTGTATTGAAGCATTTATTTTTTGTGATTTCTATCACCGTTTCGAATAGTCAGATAGGTACTTATATATATGTATATATATGTGTGTGTATGTAGTCTCAGGTAGTGGAAAAGTTTTAAAGCTTTTTATTATATTTATTATTATTAGTAAAAATATCTCCACTTTTGTATTGTACATATATCTATGTATATCTATATATTATATATTTATGTAAATATGTGCAGCATATTTTTTGTTGGTACGTGAGTAAACTATATAATACTATCATGTTATTTAATGTCAAAATCGGACCATTTATTGATATCGCTCATATATTTGAACATACATGTATACACTTGCATTTATCTATATAAATATTAACATTCATACACAATACAATCTAATATTTAAGCAAACACTTGCCATAAAAAATAATATTTAAGCGCCAATTAGGCACCAGGAAATTTTCAATGGCTTTTTGTCGGCTTTTTAGTTCACTTCTCTTATTTGAATAACCGAAGACATTATCGTTTTCATAGAAAGAACCATAATAAGTATATAATAAAGTTTATAATATTTACAAGATTTTATTATATATCAGATTTTAATAATTAGATAAAGAAATGCGCCCAAATGTTCATATTTTGCAGACATGTCCCCTTTAATGAGAATGCAGTTTTGTATAATATATTATATAAGTATTGTATATTATTATATAACCCAGCCTACTCAAAGTTAGTTTTATTTAAACTTTATAGTAACTAGTATTTATTTCACGCCCTTTTCTTTTTCACTACGAATCTCTTGTATATGATTCTCACTCGGAATCATAAAAAA